GTATTGTTATCCTAGAAAAACTCTCCCAGCTCTAATGTTGAACCTGGACCCCAATTTAGGAGATATTGTGACAATGGCATATTAAATGCCCCAGATTAAAGTGGACTCCTTAAAACCATTTATTACTACATAAATGAAGCCTGAGTCAGCCAGAGCATGAAAACCTCACAGCCTCAGCCAGAAAGCAAGGTGGCTATGGCTGTGGTTGTTGAGTCCTTGGGTTCTCAAGGCTAAAGTAAAAGGTGCCACCAGGATGACCTTGTCACTCGATATCAGCATTAAGCATGCTGAAAACATTCGCTTCGTTGAGTTATGAGCTGCTATCATGCCAGTCAAAACTGAAAGTAACGTAAAGTCTTGTTTAATGGCATAGAACTCTCCGTCTGCGTCTGTAATACCTCCCCATGCACCCCAAATTTAGGTGTTTCAAAGTTGAAAACAGAAGTGGGGCTGATGCCAAGAGGGGAAAGCCATCACACTCATATGAGTATGCTGAAGAATTTGGTGGAGGGGTGGAACTCAAACTTTAATGGTCCTATTGTGTATGGGTGCTCAAGTTACTATCTTACCTGGACCTCTAGGGGGAAAAAAAGGTGCATGGATTCAGCTAATAGGATTTGGGCAGGGCTCATAGTGAGGCAGGGAAGCTAGTGTAAGACTGTAGAAGGGACCCTTTGGACCAATTTAATGTACTATAATTGCTGCTTCTGTATATGAAGGCATAGTAGGAATGAATTGGTTGTATACTTCTACTTCCTCATACCATAAGTAGAGATAATCTCAGTTGGGAAGAGCCACATGTAGAGAATAGAGGGACACATTCATTGCTCTCCAGTTTATCTCTTTGGACTCTCCCTGGGTAGCCTAACAGAAATAGTATAGCATTCCAAGTGGAAGAAGACAATAAGGAAAGTGGCCCATAAACGATGTTTTGCACGTAGACCTCAGACTCATCTAAGTGTCTGACACATGATTTTCAACTCTAGCATCCAGAATTGTGAGGAAATAACTAATATGTCACTTAAGTTCACCAGTCCCTGGTATTTGGTATAATAGCCCTAGAAAACTAATATAAAAATATCTGAATTCACCATAATTTAAAAACTTCCACTAATTAATCAAACAAAGGAAAGACAGGAAATAAGAATCACAGTTGATTTCCCCTCAATTTCCAAAATGGGGCAAACAAGGAGGTCTCCTAATGGCTTACCTCAGGATACCTCCTCACATATTGGTGAATAACTGTATCTCAGAGGCTATAAGGGCCTCATTGGCTGACTCAGAAGGGTGTGGGGCTTGAGGTGTTCTGAACTGACATTCCTATCATCCCTATGATGAGGTGTGGCAAGTCATAAATTTTGAATTTTTAAAAAAGTAAAAGAGTATATTATGAAAAGAACAGAGTCAGATAAATCTGAATGGGATAAAAGTGTAACTTAAGATTCTAGGGAGCCTGAATAAGTTTGGTTTTGAACTTTTGGATTTAGATATTTCTGTACTGAGTTTGGGTCCTTCCTGATGCTCTTCAGTGAATTGCATGATGTGAATAGTGTTGAAAAAGTTTGACGTGGGTATCTTTGTCCTCTTAATACTATTTTCAATCTGTTCCTGCTTCTAATCTGTTAGTGAAGCAGGATCCATTTTCTTATATCATCTTCTGAGTAAACACAACATTAAATTTCTCACCAGGAACCTCTTTCCTCAATCACCCACTGAAGGGAATAATCAGATGTATTTAGTTCCCAGCTTGATCTTCAACATTAAACCTCATTTTCCTTTCTCCTTCCCAGATTTCCTCTGTGTCTCTCACACTTCCACTCCCAGTCTTCATCCACAGCCCAATGATGGTGCATTTTAAAATTGTTTTTTACTGGTGCTCCCACTTGATTTCTGAAATTACAAATGCAAAACAAACAACCACGTGTACGTGTTCCTGGTGCCTACTTGCCATTACCCACACACATTTTATTTATGTCCTCAAAATAACTTTTTCTATAACAGAGATGACACCAGTATGCATGAATAACTGAAAAACATCTTAATATCATACTTAACAAACATGGGAATATTGAACTAGCAGCAATTCGCATGATAGAAATAAAGTGACTGGGTGAAACAAAGATTTGTTTTATCTAAATAGTCCTCAGTTCATTTTCTGAGAAGACAAATGGTTCTACAAAGGGCCTTAGTCTTCCAAAATTGTCTTACAAACAAATATGATATCTCTCTAGTCAACATGCAGAAGGATTTACTTGCACTTCATTTTGTGGTAGATTTTCATGGGTGTTTCTGCAGCAAGCCCCCTAACCCTTTTCATATCCCTTTGGCTTTATCTCCTGTCTAATGGGCTCAAGAAAAGGTTGGATTTCTGTAGTTTACCTAGCTTTTGTCTCACTGTTGGGCTCAGAGTGACTCCTTTCACAAGTTTCTACATTCAAATTAAATGATATTTAGAATTTATTTTAAGAGTTCATACGGAACACATGGCAAACATCATGAAATAGTGGATTTCAGTGCAACTTGTAACAAATTTTAAAGGATTGAATTTCCCACCCTTACTGCCGCCAGTGTGTTCTCCCTTCACAGATAAATAGGAAGCTAGAAATCAATTGAATGGAGAGCACTTGGATAATCACCAACTACTTTGAAATTCAGCATGTACCTATAGGAAAAGGAAACAAAGAAAAGAAAAAAGCCCATGCACCAAGAAGAAAAACACAATGAGTATTAAAATGCATTACCATTACCCTAACTCCTCCTACCTATGAAATCACTTGAGGTAGAGGAGGGAGTCACCTTAATTCACTTAATTGTCAAACATCCTCCTCTTATTTTGATTCAAAACGATAGGGACAGGTCTCACTGTGACATCTGCATGTTTACATTTCAACCACCCGTGTTAAAAGGAAGCGCTTCAACAGAAACCCATAGGCAGACATGTCGACAAACACACCACCATGCCCCTCAATCTCCAGGCACAGGAAGGCTATTATTGGTTCAGCCCTGGTCACCCCATCACCATTTGGGCCAATGGCCATGGATCCTGCGCTGCCAGTTGCTTATTGGCTCCTGCCAGCGGAGGCTGGGAGCACAGCTGCTCTCATTGGATGACCCCGTCATCCAGGCATAATTGCAGGGCAGGAAGCCTTTTGTGTCAAAAGGGAAAGATGGTAGGCTACGGAGGCACAGAATCAGATAAATTTGAATGAAGTAAAGTAGGGATTTCTTTTATTTTATTTATTTGTTGATTTACTTATTTGCTTATTTATTTATTTTATTTTTATTATGTTATGTTAATCACCTAAAGTAGGCCTTTCACAAGGTCGGGAGCTTGAGTAGGGCATGGTTCTAGATAGGTTGAGTTTTCTGCACGGTGTTTGGGTCCTCTTTTATTAACTGAATTAACTGAATTAGGATGAGGGGATACCTTGAGGGAATGTGAATGGGGTTTTGTATCTGCTACAGTGATTCATTTGTTGCTGTATCAACACACTCGGAAATTCTTTATAGGATACTACTCGATACAAGTGGGAGAAGGAGAATACAAAAGGCAAGTAAAATTATTGTGGACCCAGCTGTGACCGTAAGGAGTCCCGAAGACGCTGACCTGAAGGAATGGGCCACTTAGGAAAGTGATGAAATGCGACAGGGTCAAGGAAAATCATAACAGACTGTCCAAACACATATATTAAAGGGACTTGCTCACAGTAAAGGTGTTTTAAGGATGTGTGGAATGGCACAGGTCCAAACGCTAGAGTAGGTGACACTCTGGAGATTTACAGGTCTCTTGTGCCAAGTTAGGTGGCTCTGAAAAGAGCCTTTGCGAGGTGGTCAGGCGATCCAGAGACAGCTCATTCGCGTCTGTTGAACATGATGACAGCCTTCGTGGCCTCGGAGATAGCGTGCTTGCCAATCTCCCCGGGCAGCAGCAGACGCACGGCTTTCTGGATATCCCTGAAGGTGATGGTGGAGCACTTGGTGGAGCGGGGCAGGCGAGAGGCTTCGTCGGCGATGCGCTCGAAGATGTCCTTGACGAACGAATCCATGACGCTCATGGCCTCCTGCGAGAGGCTCAAGCCCTCGTGAACATGCTTCAGAACCCTGGGGAAGTAGGTGGCAAAACTGTCGGGGCAGCAGTGGTGGAGGCGGCGGCTGTGGCGGTGGCCTCCGCGCTTCGGCTACTTCTGCTTCGGGCTCCTTGGGTCAGCTGCCGTGGGCTCCTCGGTGCTGAGGCTTTTCTCAGAAGAGGTATCACAGCCAGGTTCAGCCATGTGGGGCTCGCCTTCCTGACAGCTCAGAAGGAAGGGCACTGGCGGCCGCTTGAGGGGTGCCAGCCCATTTATAGTGGCTGCATTTCCTGATGTCACTGGCAAGTCCTATCTGATTGGACAAAATGCAAAGACAAGAAGCGAGTCACTGAGCCAAGTCTTGTCAGATCTGATTGCTTGCCCTTGAGCTTGATATCGAAATCAGGCGGCTTCTGATTTTCTTGTGACGGCCGCCAGAAAAACGTTCAAACATTCCATGTAAACTTGTAGTTTACCTCCAGATGTCGGGTCACGGTCTCAGGGTTGTGAAATACAGAGCAACTTCAGGCTCTGTGCTAAGCTTGTACTCCGATTGGGAATCACTCCCTTTCCCCCTACCCATTCCACTACTCCCCTCCCTCTCTCTGACTCTCTTTAAAAAAAAATTTCATATTGGAAATCTGGAGGAAACTACACCTTTACATGGAATGTTTGAACATTTTTCTAGTGGCCGTCACAAGAAAATTAGAGGACGCCAGATTCCGACTCTGACTGAAGAGACAGCAAGCTCGAGGGCAAGCAGTCAGATCTGAGAAGACCTGGCTCAGTGACCTGCTTCTTGGCTTTGCATGTTGTCCAGTCAGATAGGACTTGCCGGTGACGTCAGGAAATGCAGCGACTATAAATGGGCCCTCGCTGCTCAAGCCACCGCCAGTGCCCTTCCTTATGAGCTGTTGGGAAGGTGAGCCCCACATGGCTGAACCTGGCTGTGAGACCTCTTCTGAGGAAAGCCTACGCACCAAGGAGCCCACAGCAGCAGACTCGATGAGCCCAAAGCAGAAGCAGCCCAGGCGCGGAGGCCGCCGCCGTGGCCGTGGGCGTGGCCGCGGTTGCCGCCGCCTTGTCTGCCGCCGCCATCGCCGCCCCGACAGTTTCGCCACCTACTTCCTCAGGGTTCTGAAGCAGGTTCACCAGGGCCTGAGCCCCTTGCAGGAGGCCGTGAGCGTCATGGATTCGTTCGTCAAGGACATCTTCGAACACATCGCCGACGAGGCCTCTCACTTGGCCCACTCCACCAAGTGCTCCACCATCACCACCAGGGATATCCAGACAGCTGTGTGCCTGCTGCTGCCCGGGGAGATTGGCAAGCACACCGTGTCCGAGGTTATCAAGGCCGTCATTAGGTACTACAGACGCAAAGGAGCTGCCTCTGGACCGCCTGACCACCTCTCAAACCAAAGGCTCTTTTCAGAGCCACCTCACTTGGCACAAGAGACCTGTAACTCTCCAGACACCCGCCTACTCTAGCGTTTGGACCTGTGCCATTCTGCCCGCTCTTAAAACACCTTTACCGTGAGCAAGTCCACTTTAATATATGTGTGTGGTGCAGTCTGTTATGATTTTCCTTGACCATGTCGCATTTCCTCCCATTCCTAAGTGGCCCATTCCTTCAGGTCGGTGTCTTTGGGACTCTTTACCGTCAGAGCTGGGTCTACAATAATTTTACTTGCCTTTTGTATTCTCCTTTGCCACTTGTGTTGAGTAGTATCCTATAAAGAATTTCCGAGTGTGTTGATACAGCAACAAGGGAAGCACTTTAGCAGATACAAAACTCACACTTACCCCATTCACATTCCCTCAACGTATCCCCTCATCCTAATTCAGTTAAATACATAAAAGAGGACCCAAACACCGTGCAGAAAACTCAACCTATCTAGAACCATGCCCTACTCAAGCTCCCGACCTTGTGAAAGGCCTACTTTAGGTGATTAATGAAACATAAGAAAATAAATAAATAAATAAATATTTTTTTTAAAAAAAAAGAAAGGTCTACTACATTTCCTTCAAATTTATCTGATTCTGTGCCATGGTAGCCTACCATCTTTCCCTTTTGACACAAAAGGCTTCCTACCCTGCAATTATGCCTGGATGACAGGGTCATTCAATGAGAGCAGCTGTGCTCCCAGCCTCCACTGGCAGCAGCCATTAAGCAACTGGCAGCACTGGATCCAAGGCCATTGGCCCAAAGGGTGGTGGGGTGACCAGGGCTGAACCAATAATAGCCTTCCGTGCCTGGAAATTGAGGGGCAAGGTAGTGTGATCGTCGACATGTCTGCCTGTGGGTTTCTGTTGACGCGCTTCCTTTTAACCAGGGTGGTGGAAGTGTAAACATGCAGATGTCACAGTGGGACCTGTCCCTATCATTTTGCATCAAAATAAGAGGAGGCTGCTTGGCAATTAAGGGAACTAAGTTGACTCCTTCCTCTACCTCAAGTGATTTGATGGGTAGGAGGACGTAGGGTAATGGTAATGCACTTTAACACTCATTGTGTTTTTCTTCTTGGCGCATGGGCTTTTTTCCTTTCTTTGTTTCCTTTTCCTATAAGTACATGCTGAAATTCAAAGTGGTTGGTGATTATCCAAGTGCTTTCCATTTAATTGATTTCCAGCTTCCTATATATCTGTGAAGGGAGAACACAGTGTAGGGATGGGGTGGGGGGGCTTCCATCCTTTGAAATTTGTTACAGGTTGCACGAAAATGCACAATTTCGTTACGTTTGCCATGTGTTCCCTGTGAACTCTTAAAAAAAATTCTAAATAACCTTTGATTTGGATGTAGAAGCCTGTGAATGGTGTCATTCTGAGCCGAACAGTGAGACAAAAGCTAGGTAAACTACAGCAATCCAACCTTTTCTTGAGCCCATTAGATGAGAGATAAAGCCAAAAGGATATGGAAAGGGATGGGGGACTTGCTGCATAAATACCCAAGGAAAGCTACGAGAAAATGAAGTGCCAGTAAATCCCTGTGGGTGGTCCTTAGAAATGGCCATTTACATGGGGAACTGAATTTTTGAAGCCAAAAGCTCTTTTCAGAGCCATATGCCTTTTCAGAGAAAGGACTGTGGACCATTTAGAAAAATAAAATCCTGTTTCACGAAGTCACTTAATTTCTATCATGCTGATTGCTGCTGATTCAAAAGGCCCTTTTTGTCCACATGACTTACAGTGGTTTTTCAAAGTTATTCATGCACATTGGTCTCATACATACCATGTTATTTAAAAAGTCATTTTAAGACTGCGAATCCAGAGGAGCTTGGGAAGATGGCAGAGTAGGAGGAGCCTGAGCTCACCCCGTCCCACATTTAAAACTAGATATCATCCAGAAAATTAAATAAACCAGAGAGCACCCCAAGGACTGGAAGAACAAATCCCACAACTAAATATAGGGAGGAAGCTGCATCTGAAAGGTTAGGAAGGTCAGAAACGTGGAGGGAGGCTGCCCGCAGGAAGGAGAGAGCTGAGCATGGGTAGAGGGAAGAGAAATGGGCCCTCGCACTAGGGAGCTCACACGAAAGAGGCTAATACCCATACTTTTTGGCTGTGAAAACCAGAAGGGCTGAATACCGTGAGTTTGTATAACCAGTGGGACTTGGTGCCTGGAGCTTTGAAAGTCAGCTGACTCCACACTGGGCAAGCGAGGAGGGCGAGTGACAGCTGGGTCGCCATCCTTAAAGAGAGAGAAGCCTGTGTGGAGGGGCGACATAATAACGGCAGTTTGCACCATGCCAGGGGCAAACGGGAGACGGAACTGTTCATACTGATTTTGGAGTGTGGTGGGGGACCTCTCTGAAGAGGGAGGAGCTGCAGGGGCCATTTTCCTCCCCTGCCCCCCATCATAAACACGGTGCCATCTGAGCACTGCACAGACACTTGTTACCTAACTTGCTAGCAGTGTGCCATGCCCACCAGTTCTCCTGAGGACTTGCCCACTCCAGGCCTGCCGGGCTCAGCCGTGGGTTCAGGGCAAATTTTGTTAAAGTGGTGCATACCCCACCCAGCCGCCGGGTGCACAGCTGTTTCCCTGCTCTGCTGCTGAACCATGCCCAGCTGTCATGCCTCACCCAGCCTTGCACCCACAGCCACCATTCTGGGCGTGGCCCAGCTGCACCCAGCCATTGCCTCGAGCCACACCCAGCCTCATGCCCCTGGCCAACCCCAGGCACAGACCCAGCCGCCACAGTGCTTGGGGGAATCCAGCATAGGACTGGTGGCCCAATGCAAATTTTACTCCCAAGTTCCCTGGTGGGCACATGTCCCCTGTCCCCAGAGCTGGCCTGCCTGGGTCCCAGTAACACCACAGAGAAGCAGCACATCCTGCAGCAGACAGAGAGTCAGTGCAGATGACTGCACTGAAAGGAAAGTGACTCAGACACAACAGCAGGGCATAAGCAACACACATAGGATATTCTCCTAAAGTGCCAGGTTCTGGTGAACAGGGGACACTGCACTGCATGGCACTCTGGGACTCCTTCTTTCTAAAGTCGCTACTTTCAAGAGCAGAAGACATAGCTGGACTTTTGTAACACGCAGGAACAGATATAGAGAGGAAGACAAAACGAGGAGATCGAGAACTTTATCCCATATGAAAGAAGGGGACAAGGCGATGGCCAGAGATCTAAGCAAAACAGAGGTAAGTAACAGGCCTGATAGAGAATTTAAAGCAATGATCAGTAAGGATACTCACTGTACTTAGGAAAAGAGTGGAAGACATGAGTGAGACACATGATAAGGACTAACAGAGAGATAAGGAGTAATATAGCAGAGACAAAGGGCTCAGTAAATGAAATGAGAAACAGGTTTGATGGAGTGAACAGCAGGATGGAAGAAGCAGAGGAATGAATTGGTGACCTAGAAGACAGAGTAATGGAAAGGAATCAAGCTGAACAACAGAGATAAAAAGGAACTATGCAAAACGAGAATAGACTTAGGGACCCCAGGAACTCCATCAAGTGTAATGACATTCACATTATAAGAGTCCCAGAAGAAGAAGCGAGAGAAAAGGAGCAGAGCATTTATTTGAAGAAATAATAGCTGAGACATTCCCTAACCTGGGGAAGGAGAAAGACATCCAGATCCAGGAGGCACAGAGAACTCACATTAAAATCAACAGAAACAGACCCACGCCAAGACATATGTAATTAAGTCGGCAAAATATAGTGATAAAGGAAAATTTGAAAAGCAGAAAGACAAAAGAAGACAGTATCTACAAGGGAAAACCGAAACCCGTAAGGCTAGCAGGAGACGTTGCAAGGGAAAGTTTGCAAGCCGGAAGTGAGTGGCATGATATATGCAGAGTGCTGAAAGGAAAGAACCTACAGCCAAGAAGACTCTAACCGGCACGGCTACCATTGAGAATAGAAGGAGAGGTAGAGAGTTTCCCAGACAAACCCAAACTAAAGGAGTTTGTGACCACTAAACCAGCCCTGTAAGAAATATTAAAGGAGACTCTTTGAGTGGAAAGGAGAGACGAAAAGAGACAGTATAAAGGTAGAAAAAACACAAAAGCATGAAAATTTGAGTATTTTTGTAAAAAGTCAGTCAAGGAATTCACAAAATAAAAGGATTTAAAATGTAGCAACATAGGGGTGCCTGGGTGGCTCAGTCGGTTGAGCATCTGACTCTTGATTTCAGCTCAGGTCATGATCTTAGGGGTGTGGGATCGAGCCCCACGTTGGGCTCCATGGCCAGTGTGGAACCCGCTTATGATTCTCTCTCTCCTCCTCCTTCTTCCCCTCCCCACTCTCTCCTCCTCTAAGAAAAATAAAACTAAAAATAAATAAAAACTAAATTGTAACAACATATACCTAAAACATGGGGAGAGGAGTCAAGAATGGGTTCAAACATGGGCGCCTGGGTGGCTCAGTCGTTAAGCGTCTGCCTTCAGCTCAGGTCATGATCCCAGGGTCCTGGGATCGAGTCCCACATCGGGCTCCCTGCTCAGTGGGAAGCCTGCTTCTCCCTCTCCCACTGCCCCTGGTTGTGTTCCTGCTCTTGCTGTCTCTCTCTGTCAAATAAATAAATAAAATCTTAAAAAAAAAATAAAAAAAAAGAATGGGTTCAAACTTAAGGGACCATCAACTAAATATAGATTGCTGTATACAGAAGAGGTTATATACAAACTTAACGGTAACCACAAATCAAAAACCAATAAGAAACAGGCAAAGAATAAGGGGAAAGGAATCCAAATACATCATTAAAGAAAATCAGCAAAACACAAAAGAGAGAAAGACAAGAAAAGATCAGAGAAAAACTTCAGAAACAACCACAAATCAGGTAATAAAATGGCAATAAATACATATCTATCAATAATTACTTTGAATGTACATGGACTCAATGCTCCAATCCCAAAAGACATAGGGCGACAGGATGGATTAAAAAAAAAAAGACTCATCTATATGCTTCCTATAAGAGTCTCATATTAGACCTAAAAACACCTGCAGTTGGAAAGTGAGGGGATGGAGAAACAT